AGGTCGAGTGCTTATCCTATGGCTCCATACCAGGACTCCAGGCTAGGTCTGTTGTTGTTAAATGTTGTCAAGTTGGTTCAGACCCATAGCGACCCTGTATAGGGTTTCGGAGGAGGTCTGGTGAGCTCGAACCTCTGATCTTGCCATTCAAATGGACTTTGCAGTCGATCGCATTAACCCACAGCACCACACCAGGCTAGGTCTAGGACTTTGTTTATTGTTAGGGTTATGGTTAGGACTAGGGTTAGTGTTGGAGTCCTGGTGTGGCGCTGTGGTTAATGTGCTGCACTACAAAGTTGGTTTGAACCACAAGGTCGGTGGTTCAAGCTCACTGGCTGCTCCTTGGAAATCCTACACAGGGCCCCTATGGGTCAGAATTGACTTGACTGCATTTAACAACAACAACAACAACAACAAAGGTTAGTGTTAGGGGTGAAGGTTGGGTTGGGCTAAGGCTAGGAGAGAGGCTTCATTTTGTCTAGTTTTAGGGTTACAATTAGGTTTATTTTATTCATTTAGTATTTTTTCTTGAAATCTATTTGATTTCCTCTTCATTTGGAAGTTCTGTAACTGGATTATTCCCTCGTTTTACTTTAATGCTTTTTTTGTTGTTGTAACTGTATCTCTGGTTCTCTCTTTTCAGTCTTAAAAGTCTGTTTTACTTTGCATACTTCTATATCTGGGGAGCACAGTGGCTCTCACAATAAGCACTGGACTGTGAAACACAAGGTCAGAGTCCAACTACCATCCCTCATGAGAAAGATGAGGCTTTCTGTTCCTGCAAAAGATTGAAAGCCTCGGAAACCCTACATAGGGCTGCTATAGGAAACGGACTGATGGCACTTAACAATGACAAGGAGGTATCTGGGTTGAATCTAGGTGACATTGTCATGTATGTTAGTCTCAGATTGTTGTCTGCCGTTGTAGGTTCTCCATCCAAAAAACTCCCTTTAGTATTTTTTGTAAGGTTGGTCTGGCTTTTACAAATTCTTTTAATTTCTGTTTGCCTGAAAATGACCTCATTTCTACATCATATTTGCTGGACAGTTTTGCTGGATATGATTCTTGCTTGATAATTTGTCTTCTTGCCTGCATGTTTTCTTCTGAGAAATCAGAGCTTAGTCTTATTAGTTCTGCTTTGTATGTAACTTTTTTTTTTTTTTTTTCCCCCCTGAGCAACTCTCAGGATTCTTTCCTTGTCTTTGGTTTTGAAAAGTCTGATTATAATATGTCTTGGTGTTTTTCTTTTGGGGTCTATCCTGTTTGGAGTTCATTCAACTTCTTGAGCGAGTATCTTCTTGTCTTTCATGATCTTAGGAAAGTTTTCTTCCAACAATTCTTGGACAATATTCTCTGTTTTTGGTGTTATCGTTTTGTTTTTGTCTCTTTCTGTTTTGGAATTCCTATCACACATTACTTATTCCTTTTAATAGTGTCCCACACAAATCTGTTTTATTGGGTGTGTGGAATTCTCTTGCATAAGAAGGATAGAGTCTGGATGGAACACATTCTACACTAATGACAACGTAGAGAGAAATAAAGTGACCAAATAGTTGAAATTGCTAGGTTGAAAGTGAAGGTACTTAGATGACAGTGAGAGGGGGGAGCTGGATCAGTGCTACAGGCTACAGGCAGGGCTCATTGAGTGATTCCCTTGGGTGGTGGGGAAAAAAAGGCCACCCCAGACTCCCTCACACAGAGGACTGATCCTATGCCAGCAGACTGTTCTATATGTGGGCTGGATGCTAGAACACTTCTTTTCTAACCAGCACCAACAATATTTTGTTCCTATGAAACTTCTCCCTAGTCAGGTCATCAGAAGCTCTTTTGAGATGAGGTTGCTGGTCCTGGCACTTGGACATTCACAGTCATTGCTCTCTGCCATAACAGTCCTTACAATGTTATTGATTTGTCTCCGTATGGACACATAGCTCTATTGTTCTTGAGTGGCATGTCTATTTCCTTTCTCTTCTGATTAGTTACTTTGCCAAATGGTTTACAATGAAGAAATACAGATTCCTCCACCTGTTTTTGTTCAGTGACAGACAAGACAACATGATCAACCTTGAAAGCAGACAACTCACCTTACCTTTGCCAAATGTTAATAACAACTAGCCTTCAAGGAAGAATAAGGTGATATTGTGTTTCCAGACGGAAGTAGTAACCTTGCAGGAGACGCCATTGGCAAGAGGATGTGTGTGGGTTTTTTTTTTTTTTTTTGGGGGGGGGGGGAGAGGATCTTATCTGTACAGAAAATTTTCCATAAAGTCTTTATGTGGCAGGGAAGCTGAGGTGCCCAGGATTAACCTAAGTACCAGATTTCATATTTTCCAAGAGAAGCACTGATCCTTTTCCCAAAAGAAGGTTTGGTTGCTTACTTCTTGTTGTTGTTAAGTACCCTAGAGTTGGTTCTGACTCATAGTGACCCTGCACAGGGTATCTAAGTCTGTAAATCTTGACGGGAGCGGAAAGCCTCATCTTTCTCCTGTGGAATAGCTGGTAGTTTCGAACTGCCGACCTTGAGGTTAGCAGCCAGATTCATAACCACTACGCTACCAGAGCTCCTTTGTTGCTTACTGGGAGTGTGTGCATGTGAGCATGTGCTCAGTTAGGGGAGTTTGAAAAGTTTGAGGAATTTAGGATTGGCAGATAAGTGCAGTGAAAAATGTGCTCTGCCCCTTTTTATACTGGAAGGCTTGTTGAAAGGTCCTGAGAGATAATAGAAGAGATGGAAGAGAGTGCCTGTCTGATTCTCTCTCCTAGCTCCCTTAGATTTTTTATTTTTATTTTTCTTGGCTCTACCGTTTACCAGCTGTGTGACCTCTGGGCAAGTTGCTTAACCTCTCTGAGCCTCAACTTCCTTATTTTTAAAAGGAAAATCACAACATTACCAACACTTCCTCGGGCTGTTGTGAAGATGAAGTAGGGTAATGATGTAAAGCATTTAGCAGGAAGCTTGGCATAGGATAAGCGCTAAATCGATTTAATTGTTATTGGCTGTCAACTCTACTCCCTTCCCCTCGCCCTTTCAATTCGACCCATCCAAGTCTCCACCCACTTTAGATTCTGGTCTTTTGAAGAGATGTTCCTTCTTTCCCAGAGTACAGAGATTAATTAATGGTCTAATTTTGGCGTGGATAATCTCATTGTGTCGTCCACATTCAGATTACTAGATGTGATTTACAAGAAAAACAGGCCCTGAGTTCCTCCAAGACCGAGGACAGAGGCTGCAAAATTCTAGTGTTGCTGACTTTTAGACCCAATGGCGGCTGGGGCAGCCCACTCTCCTGGTCTTGAAAGCCACTGCCGGCCCTTGTAATTGAGTTACCGCTTGGGATTCAGTAAAACTAATCCATCTACATGATTTCTTCTCTTGGTTTAATGCCATTAACGAAACTAAATTAAGGAGCGGGTGGGGTGGGGTGGGACGAGGGAAAACGGATTTTCAGCTTGGGAGCCTACACGTCTCCACGTCCAGGCTGGAACCCATGGTCTGATAAATGGAAGGCTCTGAGGACCAAGTGCTGTTGGTTGGCACCCTAGTTCCCCAAACGAGCGCGGGCTTCCTTGTTTTGGACTGTCTCCACCCGCCCCCTCCCCGCCTCTTGCTCCTCTAGGAACATTTCCGAGCAGTTTTCCTTCTACTTTGGATCCTCAGGGACCTTCCCTGAGCTTGGTCAATAGTGTGCCCCAGGCGAAAAGTCAAACCCACTTATTCAGGGCTTACTACAACCGGATCCCGATCTCAGAGTTGCCAGGAGTTAGCCTTCGGTCGGGGAGGCACACTTGGGGCCCAGTTCTACCAGCCCTAGGGGGAGGGGCTTGTGGGTGGGGACGGGGGGTGGGAGGTGGCAGGTGGCAGCCACCGCGGTCAGTTTCACTCTCCGTCCCAGTGACACCCAGATCCCAGCGCGCCATTCTCTCCTCTTGGAGAATCTGGTTGTCGCAACTTGGGCAGCTAGCCTGAGGCGAGGATTCGCCGACTCCTGGACTGAGATTGCATCGCTTGGAGTCCCCAACGTGTAGGTGGCGACCCACGCGGGCCTGGGTATCTGGGTGCTGGGAACGGAGAGGCACCAAGGGTGGAGGGGGGATCCCGGGTCCGAGCTCAGCGTTGACAGTGTCAGTTCAGTTCGCTCCAGCGGCCCCGGGGGGTTGGGGATGCCCCATGTCGTGGCCGCTTGCACTCGGCTGGGCTCGCGGGGTCCAGCCAGTGGCGCCTACGTCGGCGCGCCCCCCGCAGCTCAGCTTTACTATGACCGGCAGGCGGCTGTGTGCGCCCCGCCCCGTGGCTCTCCCCCCCCCCACGCCATGCCCACACCTAGTCGTTTGTATAGGAGGCCCCACGGGTGACTGCGCGGCTCTGGGACCCGAGAGTTGTCAGGGCGCCGGAGAGCTCGAGGGCTGTGGGTGTAGGGAGAGTGAGCGCGCAGGTAAGGGCCGGCGGCTCCTGCTCTCTACCCACGCGCCCCTGACCCCCTTTGGCCAGCTCCTAGGATCACTGAACCTTCCTTGGGCAAGCCAGGCGGGGCGAGTGCGGCTTCCCTCCGCAGCAGCCGGCAAGGAGCTGCGCGGTGCTGCGGTGTAACAGGCTCCCACGTTGCTCATCACATGTACAAACAGTACCCTTTCGGGGAGGCTCGGTATTTTTAAGTGAATATTTTCGGCTTTTTTTTTTGGCACCTTCTTCGGGGTGGATGTGGATGGAGTTGGCGGCCCGCGGCGGAGTGGGCGAGGCGGGGACCGGCCCGCAGATGCAAGGGCAGCCCACCCCGGCAACTCTCCGCGGCCCGGCTGGCGAGCGCAGCCTGGAGCCCGGCTGGCCGGCGGCGGCCACGGGGCCCAGCGTCCGGGTTGGGAGCGCGGTGCTGGCGGGGCGTGGAGGGCGCGCCCGCTGCTTTGTCTGCACTTCTTGACAAGCCGAGCGGCTCCTCCCGAGGCCGGCCGCTGGGTTGGCGGCGGCGGCGGCGGCTCCTCCTTCACCCTCTCTTTTCCTCCCCACTCTCTCGCAGGCAGCGGCGGCGGCGGCGGCGGCGGGGAAACGCGGGTTCCGGCCGAGCCAAACCGAGGGGAGCTCGCGGTCGCCACTTGCCGCCCTAAGCGCTCGCCCAAGTCCGGCTCGCTTGGCGAGGACTTCCGTCTTCTGGGCGACCCTTGTCAAGCAAGCTGGGATCTATGAGTGGAAAGGTGACCAAGCCCAAAGAGGAGAAAGATGCTTCTAAGGGTAAGCCCGCCACCGAGCCCGCTGGCTTCCTCCCGCGGTGTCCTCGCGGGCGTGCAGTGACTCCCTGCCTCCAGCCGGGAGCCTAAGCCGCCCGTGACCTCTGCGACCCCGGACCAGCAGGCGGGAGAGACCCGCCAGGAGGGGGGGGGGCTGTTTGGGTGTGTAACAGTTTCCCTTGGTCCTCGCGGAATTGTCGCCCCGCGAGTGCCTCCAGCCTCCTCCACTCCCCCTTTGAACGCACGGTGGTGGCGCTGCGGGCAGCCGAAGCTGCTGCAGCCCGGAGCGCCGTGCACCGCGCCGCCGGCCACCGGCCGGCTACTGTCCGTATGTGTGCGTGTGTGTGCGTGTGCATGAGTGTACATACGTGTGCTGTGCGGGCGCAACATGGTGACATACTCAGAAATCTGCCCCGTTCTCCAAACTGGAGCCCGAGCCCACCTTCCACCCCTCTCCCCGCCCCCAATGCAAACAAAGAGCCTTGGCCAAGGCGTGGAACCCCTCCCCCACATTTCTTTTTCTCTCACACCCCTAACCCCCCAATTCACTACCCATACCAAGGATGTAGGAGCTTGCACCCTTCGACACACCGCGTGCAAAAGTGAGCAATTCCAGTGCCTTGGCGTTGCCTGCGATGCGCCTCACCAGTGCAGCCTAGTCAAGCCCCAGGAGAACAAAGGCCGCTGTCCCCTTGCCACCCCTTGCCACAGTGGGAGCTGGGAACCGCCGACAGGGACAAGATCCTTCCCTAAACTGGCTGGAGTTCAGTCCCCTGGCCCTGGGCGCCCGACCCCTAGGCCGCCTCGCGATGCGCGTCGGGACCTGGGGCCTCCCTCCAGCGGGTTGGGGAGGCGCAGCGAAGTGAGGTTCAGGATTAGGGAGAACTCAGACTCAAGCAGGGGCGTCCTCCGCCTGCCAGTCCTAGACGTTGTCTTGCTGAGAACCCTGTTTAGCTACATAACGGAAACTGGAGAGGAAACCTTGGAAAGTCAGTGGAGAGGGGCTTGGAAGAGCGGTGGGTCACGCAAGTGGCTTAGGTGCAAGTGTCCGGAATGGCCACAGAGTAGATTACGGAGTGGGCTGGGCTGGCCTTGCTGCAGAAGTGGGGTTGCTGCTGGTGGTGGTGGGGCATTACCGCCCTGAGCCCTCAGGGCCCCCTTCCTCCCACCCTTTTCCTGACTCCTTTTACTCATCTCCTCCTTGCCTTCCTCTCCCCCTCTCTCATTGCTTTCTTTCCCCAGAGATTCTAGGGCAGCGCCAGCCCTCCCCCGCGGAAAGTTGTCAAAGTCTTCAACTCAATGCCTTTATGTTTTTTTTCTAAATGGAGCAGTTTCTGTTCCAATCAGGAAGAGGGGCAGAAAGACTGGGGAAGTGCATGGGGCTTTAGGTCCGTTGCCCTAAGGGTCAGTGTTGCCACTGGCTTTGACATAAGGCTGGAGCTCCAAGTCCCGCTAGACCCACCCAACACCTGCTGGCTGTTTAGGGAGCGCAGATTAATTGAGGCTGTAACTTCCGAAAGTAGAGCTGCTCTTATGTTACTCTTACTCATTTCCAGGGTTTACAGAGTTGTGGAGTGTCTTGAATATGTAATCTTCGAGTATAGGGGAAATTATTTCAGAGTTACTCAAAGCTTTTGATTTCTATTGAGGATCCAGACAGGTAATTTCACTGGAAGATTGTAGCACCTAATCGACTTAGGTGGTCTTGGTGGTGCAATGCTTAAGCAGCCTGGGTTACTAACCAAAGAATTGCTTTTTGAGCCCACCAGTGGCTTCTTGGGAGAACAACGTGACAGTCTGGTCTGGTGAAAATTACAGCCAAGGAAATTCTATGGGGCAGTTCTACTCTGTCCTTATAGGGTTATTATGAGTGGAATACACTGGAGGTCATACAACAACAACAATCTGTCTAAGCACGTGATTCCACTTCTGAATCTGGAAGTATTTCAAGTTTATTTCTGGAACGGGTTCCTGATTTCCAACAGGTAGTTAGTACCTAAGGTTTCTTTCAGGCTACCTTTGGGATGGGAGAAAGATGAGAAAGATTTATTCTCGGAAGCCCTATATAGGGTTGCTATGAGTTGGAATTGACTCGATGTTAGGGAGAAGCTCCTGAGTTGCTGACTTTAAGAATATAATTTGTACTTGTCCAGAATGGACGAACAAGTTTGGAAACATTAGAACTGGTTTCTATAGCTCACTTAATGTCATAACATTTTCGTATGTTGAGTCACCACATTTGAAACTATACACCTCCCTGTAGGAACTGTGTTAATTAGCATTTGGAATTGTGGTTGTAATTAGAATAAATTAAAGTAATTCTATAAGGCAACTTGTAAGAGGGGAGTTCACCTTCCCTGGGAGATGAGGATCTTATGGGACGGCCTTCCTAGCCCTTCTGTTGATTTGTTAAATTGAAAACATTTTCACAATGGTGTGGTGCTGTAGGATAAGCACTCACTGCTAACTGTGAGGTCAGCGGTTCAAACTCACCAGTCGCTCCTTGGAAACCCTATACAGGGCCACTATGAGTCGGAACTAACATGACAGGACTTAGCAACAACAAAGACTCATTAGTGGGTCATGGCATTGTGCTGTAGGATAAGCGAGGACTGCTAACTGCAAAGTTGGCAGTACAAACCCAAAAGCTCCTCCTCGGGTACCCTATGCATGATCTCTATGAGTTGCAACCAACTCGATGACACTTAATAACAGCAAGAATCATCAGTAGTGTCTCCTCTCAAGCATGTTAAAAGTCTTAAGTGACTAAATCTTGAAGAATATTTTTTTTTATGTTCAAGATGAAAGATACCAGGGGTTATCAGGTCTATTCAATACAATTGGTTTCTATTGCCCATATGCATGAAGAGGTTTGGTCTTTTACAAATGTCCTATATATAGCTCAGGTCATTTTGAGTTTGGGTTTTTGTTTTTGTTTTTTAAGTTAGAAACTCATTAGCAACATTATTTGATCTATAATAATAATTTGAATATTGTTGCGAAGGAAAGTGCTGTCCACTGGATTCTGACTCAGCAACCCCCAAAGGGTTTCACAGGCACGAATTTGAATCTATACATATTTAATTTTGAACCATGGTATGAAAAATGATTGAATAAAGTCAAATTGCTCGATAATAGCTGGAATGAATTTTATAGTATTTAGAGTCTACTTGCTCATTTAAATTCAGCTTCCCATCCTATCACGTTGGGGTTCTTGCCCACAGCCTATGATAACTACATGGAATATTATCATAGAAAACAGTAGGCTATACTATCGTAGAATTCAGTGTTGCTAGAGCGTTTTAAGCACAAGGTAGTCAGTAGGCTATTTTGTGCTGCAGAACGAAATACGTCTTTAAAGGCATAGATATGACTGGTTGTCTCTTTTAAGTGACGCTTTCATCAACCTGTGATGGACAATGATCTTTTTGATGACCTTTTCAGTAATGTGGAGAGGCTGTTTTCTTGGGGAGAGAAGGCTGCATCTTGTCCTATTTGAAACTATTAAAACGGCCTCTTGTGCAGCAAATTACCTTTTGTGTATTCATTCATTTATGCTTTGCATAAACTTGTAAATCTGCAGATGTTTGCAGCACACAGCTTCTCAACAGGAAGGTCAGTCTCTGCATATCAGGGATGAGGGAAGTGTAACTTTTTTTTTCCCTCTCAAGCAGATACTTGCTTAGCTTTGACTCACGTTTCTTTATCTTGTCACATACGATTTTTTAATTTTTTTTCCACAGTTCTGTTGGCAAAGCACCCAGTTAAGGCTCTATGTTGTTTACTGCAACTATATTCTTGTGACATCAGAACGCTTGTCTTTTCTGGATTGAGTCAAAGTGCTAACTAGAACTGTCATTTGGTTTGTAGTTCCGTATTTGGAGTTGTGTCTGTGTTTGCAACAACTCTTTCCCTTGTGTTTACCCAGATAGCCATCATATCCAAGCCAAGCGTCATGGCTTATATAGTCTCTGAGCGATTTTGGTGAGATACTGGCCACTGAACGATGGGGCTATGGAAGACAATTCCTTGCATAGTCCAAAAAACCAGCACAGCCTTTGCTGTCCTGGATTGCGGTGTTCATATGCATTTCTGGACATGGCCCATTTTCTGCCCATTTCCTAACCTTTCCCAGTAGCCTCTCTACCCTACGTAATAAGCTGGGTGTTATGGTCAGGGAGTCTAAGGCTCAAGCCTGAATGCTATTCCAAAAGATGATCTTGGTCTTGGTGGATTTACTGTAACAGGTTCCGTCAAGTGTCTTCAAAGATTCACACAGCAAAGCAGGTGTGAATGGATGGATCTTCACCGCTAAGAAATCATGATGTTGGTGATCTCTTATTCAGAAACAGCAATCACAATTGACTTTTGTAAGGACTTGTGTTCTTAACTTGTGAAGAAGTCATCATGGATCAGTTTTATGGGCAATGTCATAAGCCACACATACACTTCACAGCCAGAGAGATCCCTTTTCTGTAACCATTTAAATTTGGCACGCCATTTGCATCCACCCTCAGTGTTAGTCTCTTCTTCGGGATTGATGAAGAAGATGAGTATGCAAATGCCCCCAAAGCCTTTTCAGTGTTGTAGCTTCTGTACTGAAAGAGGCTGAAACTAGAAGGGTAGTAAAGTTAGGGCATGCTTTCGGAATAATGATCTTCTTACTAGCTTAGTACTGCCTCCTTTAAGTCTTCCAAGTACACTTGGAACCAGTAAAAGGCGTTACGTATGGGGCATGCTATAGGGTTAGAGAGAAGGTGAGGTTGGAATGGGAAGGCATGAGGCTTGGGGAAGGAGCAGTGGGGGATATAGGGTGGCCTGGAGAACAGGGGTCAGGACTGGGAAGAGAACAGGAATCAGGATTCGGTGGTAAGGGGGCTGATTTGTGAGGCAGTGAGCAAGGCAGGTAAGTAAATGGTTCACATTCCAGGTCTCTGCAGCTGTGCTGCTTTGTGTCCAAATCCAGTCATTCTGGGAATCGACAATCAACAGAGACAAACCGGA